AGATACATTGTTTGTGAATGATTTAGTTGTAAATAACTAACTTAGTTGTAAGTATAACTGTCATATTGTTTAATAGAATGTAAATATTTTTTTAAGAAATATTTATTCAAAGGTTTTTTCTTTAGCTTAATAAAAGAGGAACAACATCGACCCAAGTACAAGAAACTTCTGGTAGGTAAATGTATAGCTTCAACCAATAAAATCTCTCATACACTTGTTACCATTCAGCAAAATAACAAAGTAAAGAAAGATATGCATTTTCTTTTTCTGTTTAATTTGTAGCATATAATTTAAATATATGCATTTTTTATGGGAAATCAATTGGTCCATCTGAAATTACATTTGTACAGAACTGTAAGAATAGTTCCACAACTGTATATAAACATAAAATTCCTGAAATGGATATTTAGAATTATATAAACTAGAACAATGGTAAGAAATTAACTGGAAGTTAATCTTTCATTTTGAAAGAATGGAAAAAGATTAGTATTTCCAAAGTAATTTTGGAAACTTTTAATAAAAAAAAGTATAAATCAGAGGATTCATTTTAAATAAAAAGTTATATTCCAATACAGTATCTTACCTTCTTTCACAAATAGCTTTTCTCGACTTATACTGCCCTCTTTATGCATAAATTTTTACTTGCCACTGGCCTTGATACTCCCACTTACCCTCACATGTATTCAGATGAGACATCAGAATGCTATCATTCAGCAACTCTCCATCAATAAGAGTGTGACACAACTCCTATCATCACTAGTGCCCTCTCTTCCAAGTAACCTGTAATCATTTCTCGTGCTTTCCTACTGATTATTTTCAACGAATAGTTCTGTCAGTTTTCTTGCTCAAGTTTCAAATATTATTTAAGGCCTCGTTTTGTTTTCAGGTTTTTCAAACCATATTTCTACAAATTTTAACTGTTTTGGAATTGCTTTTGGAGCTTCACTTTTTCCTGGTCAAATCCACTCGTCATGATCTTGCAATTCCAAGTTGCAACTACCTCTGCTGCTGTTATTACTACAGCTGATCTTCCTGACACTTCAATGGTGTAAGGACAAGCTTTATTTGAAGGGAGTTGGCTACCAATATTAAGTCTTTTGTGTTGTCTGATGATTACTCTCTCATACCATGTGCAGGTATGCCTGAACAAGGGAATGAGTATTTGAGCAACCTGTTTCCTCCTCCTGCCTATGCCTCACAGTAGTGTTTCATTTTGGGATAGGTGCTTTGGCCTACTCCTCCCTTTGTTGACTTAATCAATCAGATATGTTGTAATTTTTCCTCCTGTTGGTGGGCAGACATTGTCAATCAGACATGTTCAATACTGATGTCCAATGCACCTTTTTTTTCACTGCTCCTATGTACTCCGTTCCCTACTTATTATTTCCTGCCCAAAACTTCAGTCGCTTGGGAGGGTAATTCCAGCTTCACACTCATCTCCCTTCCTCCACTATCACACCTTTATGACTGTTCTGATGCTGGTCACCTCCTTTGTCCAGTCAGGGCTCTTATTGTCCATGTCTCTTCACATCAAATCCATCACCTTACCATGTCCCAAACTGCTCATTTCCATCATCTGTTAGAGGACATCATTCATGCTAGTATGTGGACCACTCCCCGTACCTTCACTGATTATTATCTTCATCACCTGGCCATTTCCTGTTCTACAGGTTTTTGTCTTTCTCCCATCACTATTTTGCACTCCTTGACTTCTCTATGAGTGGGTAAGTGCTCCTTTTTTTCTACTTTTTCTTTGCATCAGCCCTTTTTTTGCATCTTAGGATCCCACTTTGTGGGGAGTTTTGCCTGACCAGGTGTACTTATTCTTAAATCCACACTATAAAACCTATGTGTCAAATATGCCAACCATTTTGCAGTGGGTGTTGCCTGACAAGGTAGGTATACTTAATTTTTTCTTAAATCTGTACTGTAAGACTGAAGATACACCCACACTTTACTTTCTACCTTTCTATTGTCCCCCACGTGTCGACTCTCAGAGGATATGGTAATGGTTGTGTTAAGTATGCACATATAATGATGAGGATCATTGGTACAGAGGCTTATCTTCCCGTATCCAAGATGAAAGGTAGAAGACCCTTTTCCTACCATGGGTCAGATACCCTTATCACAGTTGGTTGAGGTTGATCTCCCATTTATGGTCCGACATGTGTGGCCAGGTACCTTCCACTTACCATGGACTTGATGATGCATTCCCAATGCAACTTGGTGAAGGACTGGAGATGCACTCCCACTTTTCCTACATTGAAAATGTGTTTCCAATCTGTAATGCCCAATCCCATAGTAATTACAGGCAGCACAGAAGAGAGGGTTTTAGGTCAATTACTCAACCTTTTTCAACCAATTTGCATGGAAGTTGTTATAATGATACTTTTCTATAGGTAACATTGAAACAAAAATGTTGGACTTGCCCATTTTTTATTAATTATAGGAGGGTCAAGGTGCCACAAAAAGTATAATTTTAGGGGGTTTTTACAATTACTCTGCCATATTTTGACCAATTTCCATGGGATTTGGTACAAAGATAGTTTTTTACAGTTCCCATAATATACATAAAAAAATATGGAATATGTCAATTTTGGGTCATTTTAAGGGGGTCAACAGGTTAAATAAACACATAATTTTAGGAGTTTTGGTCAATTACTTAACTTTGTTTCAACCAATCTACACAGAATTTGCTACAAAGAAAGTTTTCTACAAGCAGTGATATAAGCAGTTTTTTTATATTTCTTCATTTTTCACGATTTTTGTGGTGTCAAAATTGGCCATGTTGGGATTGCATAGTGGAGACATTGTATCTGCCTGTGAATGTTGGTATAAATATTGTTAATTAGCCGACCTGATGCAATTGTGACAAGTCAGGTAATAGGTCACTGATTAATCTTTGTCCGTTTTCACCATGTTTTGTAAATTTATATCAAGAAGTTGCAAACAGCAAAATATTTAAGCAAGCTGAATCTGATTGAATATATATATATATATATAAAATGAAACTTTCTGATCAACATTTAAAAAAAATGTAATTCTGAAATTAAGTATTTTTGTTGTTTTACAAAAGAGTGTCTCACAACAAAATTTTGAAGATTTCACAATATAAAAATAATGATTGAAAAACTAAACCAAATATGAATTTTTAAAAACCAAAATTAGACACATATTTAGTAAGTTTGTTCTAAATTTAATAAAATTTGATTAAGTTTTCCACCATGTAAGCATGTCCTCTAGTCCAGAAAGGGTTAAAAAACAAAACTAAAACATACTTTATTTTAAAGACAGTGATTGTTACTAGTTGATTAACTAGTTACTGGTATTAATGTAGCTAGAAGAATGCTTACTTAAAAGGTAATTGATGTAAATTAATTGCAATATTTGTAGTAAGGTATAACATTATTGTTAAATTTTACTAAAGATGGCCTTTCCTTTATCAGTGGTGAATAAAAATTTCATTATTAAAAGCTTTCAAGTTAACAAGTTGCTTAGTTGTATTTTAATTGCTTTTATGATTTTACTTTTTTTTTCAAGGATCATGAGGTAAAGTTATCTTTCTTGCAGGAACACAGATTCATACAGCGATCAGAAATGGAATTTGTTGATGAGGCAAAATATTTTGCAACCATCCTCAGCAAAATGGGGTGCAGAACCTAAGACAGTGGTCCGAGTATTTTGGATATGCAAAAAAAACTACAGAAGTCCCAGCCTTCAGAGATGGCTAGCTAGATTAGACTGTGCATCGAATTTAAATGCCATCTTAAGTACACTGATGTCCATCCTGTAGGAATGTAGACTTCATTATATAAAACCACAGCCGGATATTTTCTTACACATCATAATTGATTATATGGCCTAATTTATCATCCTCATACTTGCCTATTTTCACTAATTTGACAGTGATTTAAAAAAGTGCAAGTTAGATTAATTTCATATTTTCCTGGATAACAAGGCAAAGTTCAGTATCAAAAGGGTTGTGGTTGAAATGTGGCCATATTTGGTTAAGTAATAAATATTATGATTCAGGCACACACACACACACACACATACTCTTCAGACAGACTCTTGCACTCTGACCTCTGACATTCTCCAGAAAATAAATTGGGACATTTTCTCAGCCTGATGTTAGAACTTACTGTTTTCGAGGATTAACAAACATTAAAAAATAAAACTTAAATCGTGAAATGTTAATACAGAAATTTTAAATTACAATTCAACAATTAACAGATTTTTTCTTTTATCCTTTTAAAGATACTGTTGAATAAATGTTTTCAACAAATTGGTTTACCTCCTTTGAATTAGCCATCTGTTTTCTGAGCAGTTGGCTGTTATATGTTACCATGTCATTAGAACCTGTACATTGAAAAAAAAAATGATGCTGAAACAGGTGACCGTAAATGGACAAAAAAGAATTATGGTATTTTCCGTTTATTTTTTATTTAGGAAGTTGAAATATTACATGTTTATTATCATGAAAATATTTAACTATTTCAAAAGTTTAACAGACTATAAGCATATTTGATATTTATGTGTAAAATAGTGTTTACCATGTTGAAAAACAATTTCAAAAATATACACTAGCTATATTTAAATTGTTTTTATCTTGTTTTTACAATGTATGAATTAATATCAGCCTACAGGTTTAAAGATATGATGTTGCAGATTTTCCTGAGATTGGATGCCTAGGCTTAAATTAAACATTGTTAAAAGTTTTATTTCTAGTCATTTAATATAACTTGTACATGGTGTAGATATATTCTGATATTTTATTTATCAGTACAAAATTATTAAAGCAATTTTACTGACAATATGCCATACTAATAAAAAAAAGTGTAGAACTAGAACTTTAGCCAAACATGTGTACTCCCTACTTTTATGAAGTCTTGACTTTGGTTGCATAAATTTTATTTTCTACATATGGTCAAACAATTTTTGAAACACTAGTCATACCATTTTATTATGCCTTGACCTCTGATCTCAGGGAAAACTAAGTTTAAATATACAAGTAATGTTAAGATTGGCTTTGGCTACCTTAGAAATAATAGAAATGTCACAAAAATCAGCATGAGAAGATCATACAGAGAGTGTTCTGTATGATATATTTTTGCACCTTGAGGGCAATGTGTTTTTTTTTGTTGTTGTTTTGTTTTTGTTCAATATAGTGTTGAATATAATTTAAACTTCTCAAGCACCAGGTAAAGATCAGAAAGAAAAAACTTCATCCCTCAATATTTCATTCTTTATAATTAGATTAAAAGTGTGAAATATTTTTTATCAATAACTGTTTTAGGCCTACACAGTTCTGCTTTAGAAAATTGTAGATTAGATGGAACAAATTTTTAATTTTCTTATATCGTTTTACAGTTTATGAAGACAGGATCATACATCCTTATAGCAAGAATCCTTTAATTGTTATATAAAAGGACACAGCAATAACTGGGTAAAAACAGTTTTGTTTAGAATTAATGTTTTCTTAAGAAAACATGAAATATTTTGTTATTTCTTTAATATTTTAATTTGAAATAAAGATTGGAACGTGTCTTTACATACAAAATATACCTTCACTCAGAAATATTTCATTTCTGTTCTGTACTTGCTTACCAATTCTTAGGTCTTTCTACATTTTCTTAAACCAAAACCAAACATTCCTTATGAGAATACTTTAAATGTTGGATAATGGACACACTAAAACAAGCCTTAACAAAGCAATAATTGTGTCATTTAATTTTTTTGAAAATCTAACGGTTTTCCTAAGCAAAACAAATTCAACATTAAAGTTTGAATTCTAAATAAAGACTAGAATAAGACGGCTTTTCACTTCAGTTTTCTTTATTCATGTCGTGTTTTTTTCATTGTAACTCAAAGAACTAAGTATTGATTCAACATTGGTTACAGTTACATATTCTTCTGTGTTCACTTCATTGTTTTTTACACAAAACTCAGCCACGTACTTTCCAGGGTTGTGTGTGTGTTCACTATTTCACAAGAACAATAAAAGTATTCAGTGTTGAGCACTGCATAATAGATTCTTCAGTGAATTATTAAAGTAACAGTCTGGCAGTGTTATTTAGAGATAGAGAAAAAATAGCAGTTATTGATATTTTAGATTTTTTGTTATATTTTAAATTGGTATTTGCAAAGAATATTTGGAGATAGAAAACAAATGTTTGTCCATTGAAGTTTAATAGTGAACAGAAATGAAATACAGAAGGATTTGCTTACGGTAACACAACTGTCTTTTGCACTAGTGTGATGTCGAAACAACTCGGTATCCTAAGCAAAATTATACAAGTAAAGATTATAACCAATAGTCTTTGAATGATAAGGTAATAATTAAGACTTGTTTTTCCTCACACTAACTCTTTTATTGTGTCACATCCTTCGATGAAAGACGCAACAATAGAGTGCTTGTGTTTTTTCCCTGTTCTAGGAACACCCTATTGGAACATTGTATTTTGGTTGTAATCCAACGAAACTCCGGTGTAATAATTATTTGTTCTTAAATACATCACATTGGATTATTGTGTGTCAGTCTTAGACCAAGAATCCCACAGAGGAATACTTTTTAGAATTTAGGTAAGCTACAATGATCGTACCGAACTGAGAGGGTACCACGTTGGTAGTACTTAATAGTAGGGGTCAACAAGAATTCCAAATAATTCACGTGACGAAAAACCACACTATTGAATTCCTGAGCGAAAAACCGACGATTCAAAGTATTGGTTACGAAATACTATGCGCATATATACTAATAATACGCTAAAATGGTCGCTAACATTTCCGATATAACAATTCCAAAATTTCTAAAAAGCAACATTTTCGTCAACTGCATACATACCTGAAGACATCAACGGGACTAGCCCCTAGATGGCTCAGACTATCACTACAAGACTTATCCAGCTTACTTGACTGGTCTCTATAAATATATAGAGATTTTTTTTAAATAAATGGTAAGCATATCATGCACGTACTTAAATACCTTTTCAACACAATAGCTGATGCTACATATCGATAGATAGACACGCGACAGTTTATAAAGATAAAGTATATATTTTATACAGGTATAACATAAAAAGTAAATAAACAATAGTATTACAACATAGTGAATTTTAAAGTGAAGTAGGAATCCTGCTACAAAATGTAATGAACCAGAATTAAAGCCACAATAATAAATTTATAAAAATTAATCCCGACTTTGGCAGCTTTATACACTTATCTATAGGCCAAGGTAAGGATTACTTTTTATAGATTTTTGGCCAGGTGGTTAGGGTACTCGACTCGCAATCTGCGGGTCGCAGGTTCGAATCCCCGTCACACCAAACATGCTCGCCCTTTTAGCCGTGGGGGCGTTATAATGTGACGGTCAATCCCACTATTCGTTGGTAAAAGAGTTGGCGGTGGGTGGTGATGACTAGCTGCCTTCCCTCTAGTCTTACACTGCTAAATTAGGGACGGCTAGCGCAGATAGCCCTCGTGTAGCTTTGCGCAAAAAACAAACAAACTTTATAGATTTATGATTGTGGTTTTTAATTCTCGTAAATGTTATAGCTATACTAAAAGTTTATAGATGTGTCCGTTTAATGGACATATAAAAATTGAACAAATATATATATATATATAAGGAAAAAATAAATTACAATTTTAACGGAAAGTAGGGACCGTTGGTTATTCATAGAATTGCTATAAGAAGTATCCAAAGCAAAATAAATGCTGCAATAAAAAGTACATAAACAAGTAGAGTGATACTAGTTGGATATGTTTTTAAATGATTTTAATCCATACTTTGGTTAACATTGTGATCCGTATAGCAAAGTGAAGCTGTCTAAATTTGCCAATCAAAGTAGGGATAGAAAATCATTTTAAAGTCTATTTAAATATATTGATTTTCGTATATTTATTGTTTTATATTGAACTATGATTGAAATTCTAATATACTGACTGATAGTCTAACAGAATTAATAATATGATTTAGCCTACGTTACACACACATTTATGTTAGTCATTTATATTTACTTGAAAAAGCCCTCTTTCTAGAAAGTTTTTTTTTTTTGAATTTCGCGCAAAGCTACACGAGGGATTGACCGTCACATTATAACGCCCCCACGGCTGAAAGGGCGAGCATGTTTGGTGGTATGCGGATTCGAACCCGCGACCCTCAGATTGTGAGTTGAGCGCCTTATCCACCTGGCCGTGCCGGGCCCTTTCTAGAAAGGACAAGAGCAATCGGAGAGATTGCACACCCTCGAGATTGCATGCATTGATATTGAATAACGTCAAATTTCGCCTTCAAAAAATCCTTTGCAGTTTCAGAATGATCAACGATCTGGATCATTTTTGTAGTGTGTTGAGAAGTTTCAACCTTAATGTGCCCATGAAATTTTGTACACATCCGATCACAGTTTACAGAATTATTATCTTAAAACCGTGAAAATGCCCTATCTCCCCATTATAAAAAAAATATTTCAAAGTGATCCAGAATCCGGACCAGATTTGGGGAAGACTGTCCCATATTGACTTTCCATCTTGTGTAAAATCTTCGTTTACATCGGTCTGTTAGTTTTTGAGATCCATGCGTGGAAACACACACACGAACCCGATTACATTCCCCTCGTGGAAGGCGAGGGAAATAACAACATGGGGCTTTCTCGGCCAATTACTTATCATAACCTTAATATATGGATTTATAACAAATGTGAAAACAGTGAGTAAAATTGGTATAAAATTCAAAAATGGGATTATTCCGTCTAGTGTACGACGATGAACTACATCAGAGTACAGTCGCGTGTTAATTATTGTAGCTTAAACTGTGATTGGGTGTCATCCAACCAATCAGAATGTACTATATCAGCATAATACTGTTGCGTCAGCGAGTCACATGACTACTGTGACGCCACGTTCTAGAACTATCCTGTACTTTGGCGAATGCTCTAGTATTTACTAGATAGGGTAGGCTGGTATATATAAGAGGGGTACAACGTGACGCGGTAATGTAATGTGTGTGTGTAGATAGTGAGTAATTGAATAGCAGTCAGAAGTATTATTGACGTTCGTCGTTATAGCGTTTGTTTAGCGCGATTGTTGAAGTTGAGTGTATCGGTAAAGTTATATTCGGAAAGAATAAACCAGTTTTATTAAGTAAAGATTTG